ACACACACACAGGCAAAAACACACCATGATGGTAATAGTGAAACTGTCTAATGGAGTTGGGCAGGAGGAGAGAAAGGGAGAGGAGAAGGGGAGGGGAGGGGAGGGGCATGCAGCAGGAGCATGATCAAAGTACATTATGCACTTACATGCAAGCGTCTTTGTGAAACACAACACTATGTACAGTGAATATTTGCCAATAACAAAAAGGGATGGAAGGGATCACTTTCAGATAATGTGATAATTACAGAGAGGCAGATGTATTTATCTACCACATGAGTCAGTTTTAAGGCTTTTTTGTTTTTCATGGTTAACCTACACTAAACCCAATACTTTTCTCTATTATGTGTCAAGACCAAACCAATATACTGAGTCTAACAACCCCGGCAAGACATTTACTTAATATTTAACTAAGGCTAAATTACACATTCTACTTCAGAGGGACAAGGCAGAATCCTGGACGCCTAATTCTATTGCATTCCGGGCAAGTTATAGGGGGTTTCAATCTGGCCATTGTTGGCTCTGCTTAAAGACTCATTAATCTCAAGTGAGAACCAATTTAACAAGCCAGGCAAGCTTTTGAAGTGACTGGTGGGAGCAGTTTAAACAGAGGATTAGGAGATAATCACATTTCGAGGCATCCTTTGGCTCTATAAAGTTGACCCCAGGCCAGGAGGTGTGAGGTGCAGGCCCTCCTCCACACCTCTCTAAGCAGGTGGCAAGCTCCTTTGTGAGACAAGCAGGTGGCAGTCGAGAAGACTGATCTCTTTAGATATGTTATCAACCCTGTATGGGGTCACCTGATTCATAAAAAGACACCAAACCCTATAGAAGTAGGACCCTAACACGCTCGCTCGCAGGCATGACTTAATGTGGCCTTTAGCTCTGCTCTGCGATGCTCTCATCAGCTAGCTGGACGTAAGTACTCAAGCAGAGGAAGGAAAGCCAGAATTTAAACTGGGCTTTCCATCTTAAGGATGCCAAGGGCTCACTGGAAGGAACATTGTGCTTTTCTGGTTTTCCTTATTGCCAGGCTATGGTATCTACGAGGAGGGGAAAGGTGTGTACACTTGCCAAGTCATTAAGCTTTGGCTACACTACCCCTTCAATTGTATTGCACACAGCAGCAGGCAAAACTACAAATAATTTAACACTAGGCTTGGCTGGAAGTCATTTCAAGAGAACTGTTTGAACTGTAGGCCTAAAATCAGCCATAGGCCTAAAATCAGCAATAGGCCTATCATACATGTATACTAACACCAAGTCTTGGGTCTCAGTAGAAAAACATCGAAACAGATGGCTATAAGCTAATGTCAACAGGCAGTTTTTGTGGAAATTTACAAGCCTGAGTAGTCATAGACCTTGTAAATAGGTAGCCTGGGCAGACAATACCAACTTAGATAAGGACAAGCGAGTCATAGGCAGAGTCATAGTGACTTGTCCCCTTGATACCCGGTTCTGAAGATATCTATATTCCCCCTGAACACCCACACTCCAGTGTCACTCCCTTCCCCACATCCTGCCTTTCTGTGTTTATAACCCCTGTGTGAATTAATTGTGATTTGAGAAAAAAATTATAAAATTAGATACTTTCTGTAAACTATAGATTAGACATTGTATAGCTGTCAGCCCAAGAACGCTTTCTTTTGTATTTCTCAATGCTGTCTCTTTATAAGTCTTTGCATTTTCTTTTAATTGTTCACATTTTCCAAAAAGCCAATATATTATTCCAATTGAATAGAAATAAAAAAAGAAAAACAAACAAAAAAAAGAGAACTGTTTGATACTAAGGGGATTCACAGTTCTGACAGAAACCAGCGAACAACACAGCACATCACAAAAACTTTGCTTCTTCAATGCCATTCCAACTGACTTTTGTTCCTTTTCTCCTTCCTGCACACCACGGAGGGGCCTCTTTTACGTGTGACATACATAGCACATGTGTGACCATGTGACAAGCCCCCAGGGATCCCTAGTTGTGTCCTTTCAACTTAAATCAGTGGGGTCTGCAGGCTAGAATCCTTATGCGCCTCCAACAGGGTTTCTGTTTTGTATTTCATCAGACAGGTCCCTCTTGTTCCAGAGCCTGGTCCATGGCACTGGGGCCCCCATCAGTCATCGTGCCCCAGCTCTGCCCATGGTTGTTTGCACCAAGAACAGCAAGTGTAAGGGACTAACCAGCGATGGACGGGTTTCTGGGACAGAACTCTACAATGAGCTGCATCCGACTATCTTGAAAATTGGAACCAAGACAGAAATCTTCCCACTGACAGCAGGAGTTAAGAGGAAACAGTCACAGCTGGGTTGTACCTGATAATCACACCAGTCCCCACCGTCAACCCTTTGAGGTTGTGGTTCCTGGATTCCCTGAAAACTTAGAACATACTCCACTTCTCTGGGTGAGTCTGAGAAGCCCAGTGTTGCTGGGAACAAAGACACACTATCTATGTCATGGTAGCCAGGTGCTCCTTTTAAGGACCATGAGCCTCTGCCCCAACCTCCAAGCTGTGAGGAAGGTGGGAGCAAACCCTCTTCTCCCTTCATCAGGACCACGCCTTGCTTCTGATCAGGGAGATAGTCAAAAGCCACGAATTATCAGGGGAGAAGTTGATCCTGTTTAGAAACTGCCAGAATCAACAGAGGTTAATAATATCAACAGACAAACTGAAATGGGTTAGCTATGACAACACACATTTTAAAATAATGTATGTATGTTAGATAAGTGGGAATATATTTTTGATAATACGGTCTTTAAAACTGACTAGGGGGTGGAGCAAGGAAAACCACAAAGACATATTGTAGCTGAACCAGAATTCAAACAGCA